AGTTGAGCAAGCTACATCTGTTATTATGATAATGGCAAATAATCTGTATCAGCGTTCGCAGGAAGAAGCAGGGCTCCGGGTCTTCCTGCTAAAACAAACCTATGGGAAATATCCCAGCCTGCTTTCTCTCTTCCCCTGTTTGTTTTATCTTATACATAAAAAAATTCAGCTGAGGGATCATTCAGAAATGACTGTTTTCTTTCCTATACTCATAATCCCTTCCTTCCCAGTACAGTTTCCCCTGCTTTCAGCGTATATCAAAGCACCGTTTTCATTCTCCTCGCATGAGCGTTACGAAAACGAAAAAAAAAAATTGAGGCAAAGACATAGAGAGGGAGAGAATTAAATGGGATAAATCCGTTTTCAAAAGGGACCCCACTGCCTCACAGGTATTTATCAGATACTGAAGAAGGCAAACAGAGAGCCAGAATGAAAGGTGTTGGGGGGGGAGTGGGGGGGTCACAGAGGCAGGGAGAAAGGAGACAAGGAAAGAGGGCAGGAGGAAAGAAGGGGAGATGGAAAAATGAGGCGGTGCATCAACCGGCGATCGAATCACATGCCAAGAGCCATGAATTATTCATGCAGATTAGCTTCCTTATGTAAATGAATTAAAAGCCCAGCATATGTTGTCATGACATCTGAGATAAGTGCCGAAATAAGGTGGATGCGTAGCAGAGTTGGTAACGGGGCCTGGCAGACAGCAGATGCAGGTCCCGGATCACACCAGACACGCGGCTGCCAAGTCGCTCAGAAGTCCGCTTATTACGTTGTTTATTACATTATCCAAGTTTATACGTTACATTACACTTATCCACAGTATCATTACCGTATTTCATTCAGTCGTTTTGCTGGGGCCTTTTATCAAAAGGGATTTACTGGGCTTACAATGCATCTGTTTAAAGCAGCGTGTTCTTACTGGAGCCGTGTAGGATCCGTGTTCGCGGGAATAGACTCAGGAGGTAATATCCTAGACAAAAGCATCTGTCCTTCAGCAACCTGTGTACCTGATGCTTACATATATAATATCAATAACTTAACTCTCCTAATTGAAATGGTCAAAATACAAACGCATGAACAGGTTTGATATTTTTGCCTTCCTAGAAATGTTTTTGGTATTTTATTTTAGCAAAGTGTGTTCCTTCGGCTGCTATGACCTACTAAACTGCGCTTAATCGCAGACCTTCAATCCTCAGTCTGGACACCACAGTGCCCTAACCTAGACACTGCTCTCGCTCCACTGTGACATGTTCCAGTTCTTAGCAGCAGTGAGCTCATTCCTTCCCCTAACTCCACAATGACTCCTGTGCATCACGCTGATCGCCATCATGTGGATCATGCTGCAGCCTTCCCATTCTCAGAAGGCACTGGGGCGCCATTCACCGGTCTTTGGGCTCTGGTTCCGTGCTTCACGAGTGATCAGCTCACTCTCTGATAGCTCCCAGCTGAATAACCGTGGAGTGACCGGCACAAATCTCTCGGGCACACCACTGAAACTCCACCTCATCCTTTCCTCACGCCACACCATGTCTTCTCAGCTAGAATCCAAGGGAGGAGATGAAAGCGGGATGAAGTTCTTACACCGAAGGAAGAAAGGATCTAAAGATGCCAGCATCAATAGGCTTTCCTCCCTGCTCAGCAAAAGAGCAATTTTAATCGCATTTTTCACTGTCGGCAACTGGGGGGAGGACGAGAGACGGCAAGGAGAGCGGTGCCGGAGCAACGAGGCCCAGAGGAGCCTCCCGCAGAAGCCTGCCACCCTCCTCCCATCCCTGGCTAACCCTGGCGCTTCCAGACGAGCAGATTGAGCTGTCAGCCCCGAAAGCGAGACGGCGCGCCGAGGGAGCCCCGGCGACCAGCACCTACGTTCCTCCAAGAGCCGCTCCGGTGCGATTTCCCAAATTTGACCCCGTGTCTTTTTCCCTCCGTCGCTCTTTAAAGCGAAACGCCCCAGTTGCCAGGAGCTGAGTGAAGGTCTCCATAGGGGGCAGTCGGATCCCAGTGGGACACTCTGCACAACAGGACATAATGACCATCACTGTCAGACACGCTCCCAGATTCTCCCTCAAAACAGAGCTTCAGTCATGCACCTTACTATTATCATTTAGCAAGTACATATCATTGTAAATTATGATAATTGACAATAATGGCTGGAAATACAGCAAATGGGTGCAAATCAAGTTCTCTGGAATGTCGGGTCTCTCTAGAAAATTAAACTTTTTGGTTTGACACATATGACCATAACAAGTCTAAAATAGATGCTTTCACTGACTTAAAGATGCAGCAAGTGGGGTAATTCTGAGCTCCATACCTGTTGAATTGCTCACAAAACCTATTATTACGTGATGCTGACTGTTCAATGCACGTTTTTTAATTAGTCCTTAAGATAATTCTGCTTAGCCAATACTCTAAAAATTGCTTCTAAACCAAATGTGATATGAGGGCAGCAAAAATAAATACACCATCTCCACAGAGCCCAGGAAAAAAATCCCTCTTAAACACCATTATGCATATTAGCAGAGAGTAACTAAAAAAAAAAATCCCAAACATACTTCTACTGAGACTCTGAAATCCCTCTTCTTGCTTAATCATCTCCCGCCAAACATTTTTCAAAGCGTCGTTTCGTTATTTCAGTACTGAAGAGTGTCAGAATCAGTGGGTAATTAGTCAAGCGTCTGGCTCAGTGTGCAGGACTCCGGGTGCCTCTAATAGGAAGCACATAGCTCAGGCACAGTCCTTTGGAGGGAGCACAAACAGGGAAAAGGCTCATTTCAACATAAAGGGCCAGCGTATCGTAAAATGACAGGCACCACACAGAGCGCTTAGACAGACTGTTAGCTCTGCCAGGGTCCCGTGCCTCCTCTCATCCTCTGTCTGTCTGTGGCTGTTTGTCTCTACCCTGCCTCCCTGCTTCTCTCTCTCTCTCTCTCTCTGATAGACTCATAATTCTGCTTCAAAAGCATCATTTCAAAATGGGACTGAACACAAAAAAAAAAACAGATAATTGCTCATCGCAAGTTATGCAGGGTTGTGAGGGGACAGAAAGGAGACAGAAATGGAAAATGCCTAATGTGGGAAACGAGTAAGAAAGGACACGTTTAGCAAAGGAAGACATGCATTCTGCCAGAAGCTCTGTCTTGCAATCCAATTGCAGGGGGGAAAAATTAAATCAAACAAAACCGAATCCAAAATTATTAACTACAGGTACGAACCTCATAACATCAGGGCAATCAGGATGAAACATCCATATGAGGATAAAAGTCCAATTTAGCCAATGTCAAACAGACAAGCAAGCAGGATGGATAGCTGATTGCAGCCTGAAACGAAAGAGGACTTCAAAACGGCAAAATCCAGGTCCTTCTAATCTACTGATTATCTTGTTTACTTTGAATGCTGGGTAACTGGACTGCTCTGCAAAAGCCGAGGGTATGAAGGGCCGAACAATGTCCCCCACAAGGGGGGACAGCAGAGCATAGAGGACAGTGTGACTCGATGAGGGAAGAGATTGTATGCGCGTGTACACACGGACACACACACACACAGACACAGAATCTTTGTGGGGACTCTACATTAATTTCTATGAGGAAAAACTCTAATCCCAGCATGACAACCTTAACCCCTACCCAGCACCAACCTTAACCATAAGTAATTAACAAAATACAAGGCATTAGGCATTTTTAGTTTTTTGATTGCATTCACAGATCTTTGTGAGAACCTGAAAACTGGTCCTCACAACATCAAAATAACAGGTTTTTATTACATTGTGGGGGACATTTGCTCCCCACAATGTAAAATAAACATAATCCACACACACATTAAAGCTCAAAAGGGCATATTTGCATCTCTGCTACCTTCTGCTAATCCATACTTCCACACATTTGTTATATACAAAAATCGATGATATTCCATTACAAATCAACATTTCTCGTGATTTTAATTTTGAGAGTTTCAACAGTAACAGGCACTAAAAATCAGGAACTGGGTTTTCAAAGACGCGGCGCCCGGAGCTCTCCAGCCTCGATAAAAGGGCCCATCTCCCTTCCAGCCAGCAAAGGCAACACAGGGTGTTTTTTTCCTCCATCCATTTAGAAAATGGTTTCTCCCCCGACCACGCTGAGCCACTTAGCGCGCCATACGGCTCCTCCTGGCCGCGGCCCCGGTAAAAGCCGTCCCGCACCTCCGCGCCGCTTCCTTCCAGCGTGCCTGCCGACTCGGCCCATTACCGCGGCCGTGCTAGGGCAGCTCCTGGCCAGCGAGGGGGGAGACGGGCAGCACGCGTCCACACCGACGCTCATTTTCTGTCCGCTCCGACGAAAACATAAAACCGAAGGGCAAACTGCAGGCTCATACAGCGTAAGGCATTTGACACAATTTAAAACGATTTTCTTCCATCCATCCATCCAAATTACTAAAAACTTATCCTGGTCATTTTTATTTTTCATGAAACTCATTTAACAACTTCAGAAAAAAGAGCATAAAAATATTTGTCACATTATTTAGCCAATTCACAGGATGACTTCTCAGGGTTAAAACCTCTAACCCAGTGAAAGGAAGCAAATGTAAAATGCAATGTGCACGCAGCCTTATACCCCTTCAGACACACACACATGTGCACGCGCACACACACACACATACAAGTTAAACACATGTCACTCCACATTGCCGAAATATGCCTCGAGGTTTCTTACCTAGTATAAATCCTAATGAATTAGTCCTGATATCATTACAGACTGTATCAGCCAATGGTCCAGAGTTCACCAGTAGCCAAAATAAATTGTACAGCGTCTAGTCTAACATACGTCATTTAGTTACATGAATGCTAACAAAGAGAAAATAAGTTGAGTCGTCTTCTCCAGGGCATGACAGCGACTCTGGAACCATTGCAAAATCACTAAATACAGCCAATTGTCCTAGCCTAACAATAGCAATTTGAGTTTTTCCCCAGTAGGTCTTGAACAGAAATGTTTAGAAACAAACACAGAAATTGTAGGACAGATACTCACTTCTTTCATCTGCTGCGCTCCACTGACATGCAGGAGGACCTTATCAATTTCTTTTTCTATACGTCCAGCCCAGTGCATCATCCTGAAAGAGCAGAGAATAATGCAGGTCACACTGCACAGACAATTGATGGTGCTGCATTAAGACTTATATAGCTTTTATAAAACAATGAATCATTTAGCCCTACATGAATCATTCTAAATGCAAACAAAATATGGACATCTGTATGCTGGTGCAAAATTTAGCTGAAAACACAAACATCATAATGCACACAAAATATGCTAAAGAAATGCAGGACAGGAGACTTCACTGTTACATTGATACAAAAGTTGACTAAATTACAGCTTCAGATATAATGTACTGTGAATGACATACAAAGTAGGAATTAAAAAAAAAAATCACATAACCATTAAGTTGGCACAGATGGACCTGCACCAACCCAATCATGTATGCTCAATTTTGCCTGTATTACTTTTTATACGTTGCAAACTTTGATTAGTTAGGCATAGTTTTTTAAGTAATCAAAAGTCATTGAACTAATGTGCCATCATCATAGCTGAGAAATCAATGGTAGCCTGAGCGAGTCATTGATCTGTTCAGCTGGAGAAATATACAACAATATGCTTGATTAATTATTTAAACAGAGACATTATACTAAGTGACCATCGAGTGAATACCAAGTGCGATACAAGTTGGTGCAATGTCGATTTTATCGCTGTGGGTCTTTAGTCTTGGAGCGCACTCCTATTTGATCACAGTATGCGGGATGTCCTGTCACAATTTGGTAGGGAAAATAACATGTGGATTTTGGAGTATGCAAAGCTCAGCCCACATCATATCCATTATCACTTCTGTTAGATTTTTCTGTGGCTCTTTGCTCATAGTTTTGCAGTGTGTGCTATGCATTATTCAGCAGCTTCTGGTTATGGAAGGCATAAATGTTGCTTTTTTTTTCCCCCTCGTGCTATGTTTATTAAAAAAGTAATTTTTCAGTATTCTGGTGCTGAACCATTCACCCCCCCCGCCCCCGCCCCACCGCCCCTCGGTCACCCACTTTTGTGTAGAAGCAACCTAAAAAAATGTGTGTTTTGTCGCATTATTTTAGGACTCCCTCCTACACAACTAGCATGCGACATACCGACCCTCAGCTGGTGACCCTCAGCTTTCAGCATGGGAACATCCAGGAGGACAAATTAGAAGGCAATAAGTCTGTTTGGGATTAGCCACACTGTCCCACTGTCTCCCCTCCTCCACCTGGCTTAAGCTCCTCCCACAGCAAGCAGGTCACCAGGGCTGGAATTCACGCTAGAACAAACACAGTTATCTTGAACAAAAATAATCATGAGATTGTGCCAGGAGGCCTCCCAGCAGCCTGCATTCATCTCCCAGTTTGAGCTTCCAAGGGACCAAACCGATAGCCTCTGGCCCAGAGACACCCACTCCAACCACTGGCCCCCCCCGGCACTGGCCATGACCTGCTGACCTGAGCCAAGAGCAGCCCGATCACAATGTCACAGCATCTTCCCTTCCAGCATTAACCTAAAAAAGGGCATCTCTGTCATCAAGTCACTCTCACCAGCACTGTCTTTAACTTGGTAGTGGACTGGAAGCATTTCTCATTACGAGCCTTTATTCTTGAATGGATCATGAAAGCTTTGCAAACATATGCTCACTGGAACTGAACTGAGCAGTTGGGGATAATGGAGGGAACTGTGACAAGGACAAGTAAATAAATTCACAAGTCAAAAAGCAGATCATTTCATGAAACTTTAGGTGTGAACTTTAGCGGGTAACGGTAATGCCTTTTCAGATGACACTGTAGTAGGCTGGAATCATAAAGGAGAAAGAGGAGGTGAAAGCGCCAAGTATGACCTTCAGTCATGGTGTCATGCCAACGTCTGCATATGTTCTGTAGCTCCAGAGACTCATGGGAATCCTAGATCAGCTGGGAAGCAGGACTGACCTCCGAAAGGTCTTCAGGCAAAGAGGTATCAGGCCTCAACCCCCCCCCACCCCCCCCCATTTCACCCAAAACCCAGGCACATGCCCAAAAAATCCACAGAGAGCTCTGGACCCAGATTAGACTTGTAATTTGAGGCTTTTATGCATTATGCTTGTTGTTCTTTTATTAATGTTGCTTTTAACTTTGCTGGGTTGGGTCTCAGTCACGCTGGCATAGGATCTGCAGCCACGCATCCCTGCGGTGGGAAAAGGACATACCAGTGATGCTGGACCAGAGGGCGGGGGAGGTGTGGGGATGACAGCCTGTTCTCTGCAAGGCCAGGGCAGGCTGCGGGTCCACTTAATGGATCACTGCATCACACATGTCCCACAGAGTATCTGTGTGTGTGTGTGTGTGTGTGTGTGTGTGTGCGTGTGTGTGTATGAGAGCATGGATGTCCATGCAACAACCCTTTGCTACCAGATCTCATACCAGATCAACAGATATGAACATTATGAAATCTCCATTTATCAAAGCAGAATAGAGCTCTCTACGAAAAAAGAGACTTTAATTCCAGTGCATTAACATATTTTTATCACGCTAAACTGCTCTCACAAGTTTGCCACTTGGGTTTTTAATATTTCTTGGAATAGCATTTAATATTGACTATAATACAAAATATATTAAATAAAACCCGTCTGTCATTGACAGGATTCAAGAATAAGCAAAGCATAAAACATATAATAGCTTTCTGGCATGTTAGATAAGTTTGATAGCAAAGATTGCATTGAAAGATCAACTCAAGTGTATTTAAAGCAACTGCAGAATATATTTTTACAAGATATTGCTATAATGGGGGGGTGGGGGGGGGGGTGGGGCAATAATTGTAAAGTAAAAAATGCATAAGTGAAAGTTCTGGCTGAGAAACCTGTGAGATCTCAAAGAAGGAGAGTCAGAGATCTACTTAAGAAGCAATGCTAACAACAGCATTGCTAAGGTTGCCAGACAGCAGCCCAACTTCTCAGAGAGAGACATACTGGGACACTTTCGAATAACCCTGCTCTCCCCAAAGGTTCACGGCGAAGCCGCGTTAATCCCGCCCTTCCCTTCAGATTCCCTCTTGAAACTCCCTGTGAAACATATCAGTCTTTCCTTTAACTTGAGCTGTTAAACTTTAATGTCCAAATGTCTGGCCTCAGTTCAGCCCGGGCCATCCTGTCTGAGCCATGAGTGCAGCAAGATTATGGATATGATGCTTCTCATCCTGGATGGAAAGTGACTTTTTCTTATTTAAGCAAGCCATCCTTAAGAAATGCCTCACAGATCATAGACTGTTTGCTGAAAAGCAACCTGAAATCAGCTTTCCCCGGGCAGTTCTGCTTAATCCTCATTTGTTTTATTCCATCGACTCATTATTAACCAAAAATGCTCCACTTTTCCCTGTCTGATGCCTGTGGCCCATAGAAACATGGCGTTCATGCTGATGAGGTAGCGGGACAAGCTGCTGGGCAGCCTGGAAAAAGACTCGCAGCATTTCTGCTCAACAGAGCAGAGGACGGCACTGCCACGGGTGAGAATGGACCAATTTACCAACGTGCCAAACTATCACAGCTGGGTCGCCGTGCAGAAGAGAGTGAGGAGAGAGAGGAGAAAGGGAGTGATTTCAGATGCAGAAATGAATCTGGATGTGGGTAAACTATACAGGGCTGCTTCGAAGGGTGAAAGTGACATAGCTGTTATTGTTGTTGTCCATTATTAAGCAACAGCCATTAAAGATCCATTATAAGAAATAAAGGTCACTGAACTCCTGATTTTTCCATTTTGCACCTTTCACCCAGACACCTGCTGAAAAATGTCTTAAAAAGATGGCATGTCAAGTTAACCTTGATTATGCAAGGCAATTAAGATGCTAGCAGTAAACACTGCTTAATTATATTTTTAAGTAATCTGCCCATTAATATTTTAAACAGCACCGAATCATACCGGGCTATTTAAATTGTTATACAAACAATGCAGGCCTACCTGGGGGTGGGGAGAAAAAATCGAGTCGGTTACAAATCACAATTCTTTTAGGTGGTGATTTTTGGATCATGGTAAAATTTTTAAATATCAATTTAAATGTTCTTTACTTTAATTATATTGATAACATTTGTTAATGCTAATATACTTCCAGTTGCACACAGGCTGATTTTGTTAAGGGACTGACAGGCATCTAACACGGTGTAATCATGAATGAGCAAGGGTATGCAGAGACTGTTCCAGAACCATCTCAATTTAAATCCAAAGTTTGGGCAAACTTTCCTTGACACTAACATTAACACACATCTTTCCCAGCACCCCTAATTGGACAATCACAAACCCGTGTGCAAGGCAAAAAACCCTTGATATATCTTCAAACAATATATCAATCTTTAATGTAAGGATATACAGTGTTTACTTGGAATGTAATGGTCCACAAAATTCATGGTTCAGTACATACCCCGATTTTGGATTTGCGATTCAGTGCAATTTCAGTATAACGGGAAAACACAATTTTGAAACAGATTTTAAAACAGCAAAATGGAATTATGAACACTTGCAAACTGAACGTGTCTGTTGAATGTGTCTCAATATCAAAACCTAAGAAACGCTCATTCGTACACTAAAATTAATATGTAAAATAAGTAAAAATTCAACATAACAACAAAAATGAAGTAAATCCTCTATTTCTCACTACCACGTATGGTCTCATATCTGTAGCAATAAGTACCAATTCTACCTTACTTATTTTTTAATTAATTAATTCATTCATTCACAATTTATTCATTCATTTATTGTCCAGTCGAAATTTCCAGCAAAAGAGCCTTAAATGCCAAAGGGAGACTCGTAGAAGCTGTTACATTCAGATGACGTTGTCTTAAATGAGTTAGCGTGTTGGATGTTTCCAGCAACAGATCTGTTTTCACTATAATTGGTGGGAATTTATTGGAGAACCAGAATGTTCCCAAACTGTTGATTTAAGTGATGTGGGAGGGTCTTTGAGCTCTCTAGCACTAGCCGTAACCAACCGACAGCCAAAATTAGCATAATGTTTTCCATGTTGAACATCTATTTGTTTATTTATGTGTCAAAAATGTATTCATTCATTTCATGGTGCATTCTG